AATTCATCAAAGTCTAAAGAATACAATGCTCCCGGTTTGAATGCCATCAAAAATCCAGGATGAGCGATCATATCGGCAGGCATATGCGTATTATCAAAAGCGAACACGATTACTGCTTCTTCTTGATTACAACTGAGAACACTAGGAATACGTCTACATATGTATTTTTTTAAAAGTATCTTCTTTTCTTCATTATATTGCAATTGTGTACCCGATATACCAGATGGCCAGCTATTTATATTATATCTTTCTAAAATAGCCCTCGTAAGTCGATATGGAAAATTTATTTTCCCCAGTAGATAATTAACGCGGTCCTTTAAACGAAAACGACGGTTAAATTTTTTTTATAATTCGTTATTTTATGCAATAATTACCCATAAATCATTGTCAGGCGACATTATCAACAAATCCCATCTAAGAACTTCTACTTGCTCCAAGGTATCTGGCACACTTTTAAATTCATCAAAGTCTAAAGAATACAATGCTCCCGGTTTGAATGCCATCAAAAATCCAGGATGAGCGATCATATCGGCAGGCATATGCGTATTATCAAAAGCGAACACGATTACTGCTTCTTCTTGATTACAACTGAGAACACTAGGAATACGTCTACATATGTATTTTTTTAATAGACTTATCTTTTCGCCATCATGTAGTTGTGTGCCCGATATACCTGATGGCCAGCTATTTTGACTATATCTTCCAGTGATTGCTTCCACATGACTACGGGACCAATTTTTCCGTAGCAATTGATGATCAACGCTGTCCTTTAAACGAAAACAACGGTTAATTTTTTACAATTTCAATTTATTATAAAATTACCATAAGGGAATTGTCAGGTGATGTTATCAATAAATCCCATCTAAGAACTTCAACTATATCAAAGCAATTTTCTGCACATTTAAATTTATCATCATTACTATAATACAATGCTCCCGGATTTAAAAACATCATAAATCCTGGTTTAGTGATTGTATCAGCAGGCATATGCGGATTATCAATAGCTAACACGATTACTGCTTCTTCACGATTGCCTTTGAGAAAACCCGGAATACGCCTACAATTGTAATTTTTTATACGTCTCTCCTTTTCATCATTACATATTTCCTCGCTCGATATACCAGATGGCCAGGTACTTAGATTATATTTTTCAACAAGTTCGTCCACAAGCTGAGTTGACCACATTCTTTTAATCAATACATTCTTAACTTGATGCTTGAAATTAAAACAACGGTTAATATTTATATTTTTAAAATGATGTATTGTACTAATATTACCGTAAAAGAATCATCAACCGACGTTAGCAAATAACCACAATTTTGAATTTTCACTTTTTCAAAATAATATACCCATTTCATTAGGTTATGTATTGAATAATCGGAAAAGTGCGGTCTGTCAATTTCCATATTAATTGCCTAAAATTATCGATCTTACGTTAATAATTATCAAAAAGGAATACTGAATAAAAATCTATTTTAAGTTGACGGCTGGAAAAATACTAAATAGTCGTCCTGTTTTTGTGCATCGGGAGATTCTGTATAATGGATGGAGTATGGTATCCCAATGAAGTTGATAGGTCTAACCAAAATGTGTATGGAGAATTTCCAATATAGAAAAGAAAAAAAAAATACTATATATTCTTCATGTTCTCTCATAAAATTAGATTTTAATACACTATGCATTGTGTTTAAGGTACCACGGAATAATTTAAACAGATGACCATTAATATAATCATTGCTAAACAATAAATAAAAAAATAAACTAGTATTCTACTTATAAAAGTGTCAAGTATGTAACTTCTTATTCTTTTTGGGTGAAAGAATTACATTTTTTTGTTTTACGTAAATTGTTTACTAACAATTTACTAATTTTAAAGAATTTTCCGTGCAAATTTATTACTCATTTACATATTTTTAAACATATTAATAGTGTTCCTCGATTTCATAAAAAAAGTCAAAATAATAGAAAAGTGTTTTTACTTTATATTTGATTGCAAGTTATCTTAACACCATACAATATACAGTATTAAGAAACTTTCAAATTGTTTAAACGTTATAAATTATATTATTAAAACGTTAGATTTCTAAAAAAGTGATAGAAAAAATTCTCAACAACATTGCTGATTGATAACATTACCGGATTGAACATCATCAAGAATCCTGGCTCAACAATCATGTCAAGAGGCATATGCGTATTATCAGAAGCGAACACGATTAACGCTTCTTCTTTATTATCACTGAGAATACCCGGAATACGCCTACATATATATTTATTTAAAAGCATCTTCTTTTCTTCGTCATATTGTAATAGTGCACTCAATGTACCAAGTGGCCAGTTTGTTTTACTATATCTTTCTAAAATAGCCCTTGTAAGCCGATATGGAATTTTTCTTTTAAATAATAGAGAATTAACGCGGTCCTTAAAACGATAACAGTGGTTACTATTTTTTTCAATCAAATTTGTTTTTTATGCAAAAATTACCCATAAATAATTATCAGGCGACGTTAGCAACAAACCCCATCTACTAATTTGTACTGATTCTAAGGTATCTGGCACACTTTTGAATTCATCATAACCTAAAGAATACAATGCTCCCTGTTTAAATGCCATCAAAAATCCAGGATGAGCGATCATATCGGCAGGCATATGCATATTATCAGAAGCGAACACGATTACTGCTTCTTCTTGATTGCCACTGAGAACACTCGGAATACGTCTACAAATGTAATTTTTTAAGAGACTCATCTTTTCGCCATCATGTAATTGTGTGCCCAATATACCAGATGGCCAGTTATTTTGACTGTATTTTCCAATAATAGAATACACATGTCTAAGATGCCAATTTTGCCGTATCAATTGATGATGAGCGCTCTCCTTTAAATGAAAACAACGGTTAGTTTTTTACAATTTCATTTTATTATAAAATTACCATAAGGGAATTGTCAGGTGATGTTATCAATAAATCCCATCTAAGGACTTCTACAATATCAAAGCATTTTTCTAAACCTCTAAGTTTATCATCATTAGTATAATACAACGCTCCCTTTTTTAAAAACATCAAAAATCCAGGTTCAGCGATCGTATCAGCAGGCATATGCGGGTTATCAGCAGCTAATACGATTACTGCTTCTTCTTGATTGTCTTCGAGGAAACCCGGAATACGTCTACAAATGTAGTTCTTTATAAGCCTCTCTTTTTCGTCATTACATATTTCCTCGTCTGATATACCAGGGGGCCAGTTGCTTTGATTATATTTTTTAACAAGATCGTCAACAAGCTTAGGTGACCACTCTCTTTCCATCAATAATTTCTTAACTTGATGCTTGAAATTAAACAAAACGGTTTATAATTATATTTTTAAAATTATATTTTATACTAATATTACCGGAAAAGAATCATCAGCCGACTTAAGCAAATCACCACAATTTTGAATTTTAACCATTTCAAAAAAATATGCCCAATTCATTAGTTTATAATATGAATATTCCGGACCATCCGGTGTGTTTATTTCCATTTCAGTGGCCTAAATAATCAATAAAAGTTAATAGCTAGAAGAGTTGGAAATAGCACCAGTCAGTAGCTTTATACGTGGCCAGTGAATACAATAGATTGGTCACGTAAAGCGTAGAAATGAGGAAGAAACAGTTAAAGCGGTACTGAAATGGAAAATTACAAGGAAGAGACTTTGCGGGTGGCCTAGAAAGAGATGGAAGGAATTTTTAAGAAACTAGGAGTACTAGAGTAGATAACGATAACACTCATAACATTCATAATGGAGGCAGATCGTGATAGCAGCGAAAACTCTAAAAGTGTAATAAATGCGAGCAAAAGAAGAAGAAAAAGTCGTCCTGTTTTTTCGAAAAATTCGATTTTTGTAAACTATACAGGATATTAATTACAAATGCCAACAGAAGAAGAAGAAAAAAAGTTTTCCAGCCGAATCTTCAACCACGAAAGAGCATTTACATGTCTCGTTGAAGTACCGAGATAAATTTAGAATAGTGGTGGAATTATAAATAATGATATAGTATATTAAGAAGCAGTAACAAGAGCTGGTATATTAAAACATCAAGTTTATGGCTAATATTTTAGTGTTTGATATTTGGCTTAAAACAATCTCTCACCTCCTATACCCTACCCCTACTCTTAAAGAGTAATAAACTCCGGCAGAAAAGAAGAAAAAGTCGTCCTGTTCTTTGGAAAATTTCAATTTTTGTATGTTATACAGGGTGTTTTAAAAATAATGGTTGGGTTAAGAATGGTGAGGTTCCAAACGGCTGTAGGTTGTGAAGTATTGGACCTACAGCGCTCTGGTAGGGCTTGAATGAAAGAAGGTGTTGTCAAGTTTCGAATGACTGTCACTTAATGTCTCTCCACGTTCCCGTTTGAGTCACCAGCCTTCAATGTTCAGTTTGTTAAGATAGCACCCGTACAACAAAGGTTATCGAGTTCGCAAAGCGTTATTCATTTACGACTGTGAAAGATCGAGTACTAATCATTGGAAACTTGACAACTCTCTTTTTCATTCAAGCCCTACCAGAACAATGTAGATCGAATCTTCACAACCTACAGCTGTTTTAAACCCCACCATTTTTTTTGAGACACTCTGTACATTGTGTTTTACAAGGAATATTTTAAACAGATGACCATTTACTTGAACAATGCCCCAAATTTAAATTGTCTAGAAGTGATTTATTTTTTATTTTACCCCTCCCTCTTAAAAGCTATTACAGTGGGTTCAGCGCAAAGTAAGATGATTTAATGGTATTGTAAATAAGTAGGAAAAAAATTCACTTCGTTAGAAAATTTTAAAAAATTGGCGTTATCCTAAGTTCAACACAGGGATAATGTGACAATTTATGGATGTTCTCTTAAAATTAAAAAACTAAGCCATTATTCTACTATTAAGGGTGTCAAATATGTATCTAACGCTGTAGTAAGTAAGTTGAAAAATAAATCACTGGGTTTGGAGTTTTTAAAAATTGTTACTTTATTTTTACCTTGTTCGTAAATACAGGTGGATGGGAATTAACCAAATTCCAACACAGGTAAAATGTCACAATTGACCGATGTATGACAGCGTGCATTGTTGTGCTGTTGTAAAAAACAAAACTCAATAAACAGTTATTAACTAAACAGAAGTTTTAACTTTACTCAATCTCTACAAAACGTTTAACGCTATAACGCTAAATATGGTAATGTACGAAAAACTGTTTTGCTATTGAATTAGTATGAATGCTCATATAGGCATTTATTAACCAAACATTAACAATATATAACCATTTAACACATTTGCGTGTACAATAAGTATGTCAGCTTAAATAAATATATGATATTCAGATTTCAGTGTAAACGGTTTTATGAAAAAGTTTGAAAACGACTTAAAACCTGATAGCCTAAGAGGTCTGTACTAAGCATACATTTCAAAAATACAAACATCAGCACAAACAGAATTTATAGATTTATCTAAAATAATGTTAAACTCTAAAATAATAAATTTTAGAGCTATGAAGATAGTTTTTGTAAAACATTACAGTTCTTATAATGTTTAAACTTAAAAGTATATAATAATAACAACTTATATTAGTCATTTGTTTACGTTACACCACACATTGTGAATAACGAATGCTTATTTTTGTATAAACAGAAATTGAAACAAAAAGAACATTATTACCAATATTATACAAAAATCCTTATATCCTGCATCTTGATGTATCTGTGTTAAGTTTAGAACAGAACAAAACTTTATTTTTCATTTATAATGATTGCTTCATTGTAGCTGTTATTAATGTAGAAAAGTTCTGTACTAGCATGTGTCATGTTCTAGCGTAGTTTAATTGCCTTAGGTTAGGTTAGGTAAATTGTAAATTGGACATTGTCTGTAAGAATTTATTATTAAATTAATAATATAATCAAATATTATAAGTTTTGAATAATTTCAAACAATTGAAACATGAGTAGGGGGTTCGTTCTTGTCTTGGATTAGTCCCTTGTACTCGGGAGTCGTATTCCTGTGCTAGGGAAAAACGTCACGTTTAATTCATCGTTCCCTTTGTAATAAAAAGTAACATAGCATACATCGAGTGGCTTTAATTTGGAATAGAGAACGTTAGTGTATTTTATGAATCTATGTGTCAGATAATCGGTTTTATTGTATTCAAAAGGCACTGTAGTTTCAGTTTGCGTTATAACGGATGAATTAGTAATAACTTGGTCGTATTCAAAACTTAGTGGTTCCTTGTTATTCCTTCAAAATGTATGTTTTAACTTTAAGCGAACTGTTGTTCAAACATTAAACAGGTACCCACACAAATATAACAAAACAAAATATGATAAAAAAAAAAAACAGTTGTTTTTGATAAACAAAACACCGTGAAATATCGTATGGTATTGTTTGTAAATGAAACTTTGTTGCAGATATATTATTTTGTACGTATTATTTTATAACACACAAGTCTATTTTTCAAAAAAGGTTACTTTATGATATTTTAAAATAGATAACTTTAGTACCTAGATACATACAATCTGTAGATAACCCATATGTTGCTACTGTCAAAATTCTAAACTCCCAAAAACAACTATTCGTCATTGACAATGATGATGTGAAGCAATCTATTGGTATAATATAAGCTCAGTAACCCTCGGCTTAATTTCACCTTAATTAAAACAACTGTTGTAGCCAGGATTTTGTTTTAGGGGTGGGCCCAATTGATATCTCACGCTCAAAAAGTTGATAACTTAGTTACGTCAAAATTGCTATTTAGTATTTGATTTTCTTGGAAATAACAAGTTAAACGATTTTATTTTGGAGGCATGGTGTGGTTCAGTGGAAACCACAGCTTTCGCGTAGCAACATTTAATTACATAGTATATTGTAAGAAGTGAGCTATAGAGTTTATTTAAATCGGAGCCGACAGGCAATAGAGACTTTTTTACCTAAGCTAGCACAAGTCAATTATATTGCACGTTAATCTATACACAATTAATTGTGTAGGTATTGTATGTTATTTTATACAAATTTAATTGGGTATTAAAAATAAATAGTTTCTCTTCAAATGTAAATCCAAACTCAATCTAGCAAATAATATTAAAAATAGAATCATTATATAAAAAATTATTATTATTTTGTGAAAAAGTCATAATTTTATAAATTCTAATTGAATAAAATATTAATGAAACAAATATTCAGAAATCGGAAAAATATAAAATTCTCGCTTTTAAGAAGTTTAACGGCTTTTTCCCAAACATCATGGTTTGTTTTACACCATATTAGGTATACACTATGTTTACTTAGTATATAACCTTATAATTTTTAGAGTTACTTAAATTTAATAATAATAATACTATTGATTTGGAACTATTCAAATGTAATTATCAAAAACGTATAATTAAATCATTATTAGTAGAATTAACTACTGTGTTATAATTTATCACACATAATAAAATAAAAAACTTTATATTCATTTTATATTTAACTATTTTTTATATTGTATTACGGTATTTATTTTTATAAAAAAAATCTTTAGAATAACAGTTTAGTTGATTGTTTTATCGAAATACATTATTATTTGTATTATATTTTAATTTAAAAAAATTAAACATTTAAAACAATTATGAAAAAACATATCCCTACCTCTTTACATTGAGTAGGTTAAAAGATTACGAATAATTGTTTTTATTTAAAAAATTATTGTTTTATTCGGATATCTGATAAAGTATTTATTTTACAACGAATGAGGCTATGTTTTTTTTTTTTTTTTTTACTATGTAAAGAAGTATTGATTTTAAAATGATGTATGTGATTTTACTTTATATTTCATGGAAGTTAATTTAAAACTATACAGTATACAGAATTAAGAAATTTTTAAATTAATTAAAGTATAAGAAATTTAATTATTTTAAGGTAAGACTTGTAAAAGGTGATAGCAAAATGTTCTCAACAAAATTGTTGAAATATACTGTTACTGGATTGAATATCAGCACAATTCCTGGCTCAGTAATCATATTAGCTGGCATATGAGTATTATCAGAAGCGAACACGATTAATGCTTCTTCTTGATTATCACTGAGAACACCCGGAATACGCCTACATATGTATTTTTTTAATAGACTTCCCATTGCGTCTCGATTGCAAGTGAGAAACCCCAAAATACCTCTAATATTGTTATTATTGATAGGTCTCTCATTTTCCCAATTACATATTACATCGTGGTAAATACCAGATGGCCAACTACTTTTACTATATCTTCCAGTAATAGCGTCCACACTTCCGCGGGACCAACTTTTCCGTATCAATTGATGATCAGCGCTTTCCTTAAAATGAAAACAACGGTTAACATCATGGTTTGTTTTACACCATAATAGGTATACACTTTGTTTACTTAGTATATTACCTTATAATATTTAGAGTTACTTAAATTTAATAATAATAATAACACTATTGATTTGGAACTACTCAAATGTAATTATCAAAAAAGTATAATTACATCATTATCAGCAGAATTTACTACTATGTTATAATTTATCACACATCATAAAATAATAAACTTTATATTCATTTTATATTTAACATATTGTATTACGGTATTCATTTTTATAAAACAAATCTTTGGAATAATAATTAAGTTGGATGTTTTATTGGAATATATTATTATATTTTAATTTTACACAATGATACAAATTTAAACATTTGAAACAATAAAACATATCCCTACCTCTTTACATTGAGTAGATTAAATAACCACAAATAATTGTTTTTATTTAAAAACCTGTTGTTTTAAATATAGATATCTGATAAAGTATTTGTTTTACAACGAATAAGGCTTTGTTTTTTTTTACCATGCAAAAAAGTAATGATTTTAAAATTATGTATGTGATTTTAATTTATATTTAATGGAAGATTACATAAAACCATTTAGTATACAGTATTAATAAACTTTTAAATTATTTAAAGCATTACAAATTAAATTATTTTAAAGTAAGACTCGTAAATGGTGATAGGAAAATGTTCTCAACAACATTGCTTAAACATATTTTTACTGGATTGAATATCATCAAAAGTCCTGGCTCAACAATCATATCAGGAGGCATATGCGTATTATCAGAAGCAAACACGATTAACGCTTCTTCTTTATTATCACTGAGAACACCCGGAATACGCCTACATATATATTTATTTAAAAGTATCTTCTTTTCTTCATTATATTGCAATTGTGTACCCGATATACCAGATGGCCAGCTATTTATATTATATCTTTCTAAAATAGCCCTCGTAAGTCGATATGGAAAATCTATTTTCCCCAGTAGATAATCAACGCGGTCCTTTAAACGAAAACGACGGTTAAATTTTTTTTATAATTCGTTATTTTATGCAATAATTACCCATAAATCATTGTCAGGCGACATTATCAACAAATCCCATCTAAGAACTTCTACTTGCTCCAAGGTATCTGGCACACTTTTAAATTCATCAAAGTCTAAAGAATACAATGCTCCCGGTTTGAATGCCATCAAAAATCCAGGATGAGCGATCATATCGGCAGGCATATGCGTATTATCAAAAGCGAACACGATTACTGCTTCTTCTTGATTACAACTGAGAACACTAGGAATACGTCTACATATGTATTTTTTTAATAGACTTATCTTTTCGCCATCATGTAGTTGTGTGCCCGATATACCTGATGGCCAGCTATTTTGACTATATCTTCCAGTGATTGCTTCCACATGACTACGGGGCCATTTTTCCCGTATCAATTGATGATCAGCGCTTTCCTTAAAATGAAAAAAATGGTTATTATTTTATTTTATTTATTTATTTGTTTTATTTAAAAATTACCATAAGGGCATTGTCCGGTGATGTTATCAATAAATCCCATCTAAGAACTTCTACTATATCGAAGTATTTTTCTAGACCGACAAATGGATTATCAACATTGTAGTGCAATGCTCCCGGATTTAGAAACATCAAAAATCCCGGTTCAGCGATCGTATCAGCAGGCATATGCACGTTATCAATAGCTAACACGATTACTGCTTCTTCTCGATTGCCTTTGAGAAAACCCGGAATACGTCTACAATTGTAATTTTTTATACGTCTCTCCTTTTCATCATTACATATTTCCTCGCTCGATATACCAGATGGCCAGGTACTTAGATTATATTTTTCAACAAGTTCGTCCACAAGCTG